CCCTCCCCTTCCCCTCCTCTTGCCTCTTCTGCTGCCCTGTTAACTCCAGTTTATTTTTTTCGTCCCCCACATCTTTGCCGGTCCCCACAGGGCTGTCAGTTCTCCTCCTCCTCCCCTCCCCCGTGGCAGGAAGAGGGAGATGGGAATTACTGCCCACCCCATAGGGAGAAGTGTACGTTGTGTCCCTTCTGTCCCACACAGCCTTTTCTAATAGAAGCAGTGCGGGAAGTGTAACCAGTTCTGTTACTTGCAGCCAAGGGGGCTCTTTGGTGAAGAGTCCCACATTGTGCCTCTCATCATCTTCTTGGGGAATGTCTGAATTTGTGACTGTTGGAGTATGGTATGCACACCTCATATTCCTCCCCCAACATCCAAAATCTTCCAGTTACATAAAAGTGATGGGCCATATTCTGTGGAGCCCTGAGTTCGGATTGTTCATTTGGAGCAAAGTCACAGGCAGGACAATGGGTGTCTGGTTTGGTAGTTTCTTCAGTCTGATTCACTCTGTCTACCTTCCTAGTTTAGTTTTGAATGGCTTCCCAAACTAAAACTCATTTCAAATTTCCAGAGTGTAAGTAACAATCAGGACCTTCACATGTGACACTTAGCCCAACTGATTATAAACTTTCAAGTTCTTAGCAAAACCAGGTGACTTTGGCCTGGTTTTAGGTTTCAGTACAAAGTGTACAGCTTTCCACTGAACACTTAAGGAGAAGAATCTGAAAAGATTTATCTCATCCCAGAGGCCATTTATGAAATTAATATATACAGATAATATAGAAAAATAATTGCTCTAAAACGCAAATAAAACCCAAACTGATTTTTTTCTTTCACTTAATAAGTCAACTGCTTTTAGGATTAGGTATGTAGGAGTGTAGATTGTTCATGACAAATGTACATCATTACAAAGGAGACATTCTTGACTTTTTTTCCATAGGACATGTGCAGGCAGTTATTTTTTTATTTTTTATTTTTTTTACTAGTGGGGATTGGTTGTGCTCAGTCATACACACCCCTTGTGACTAGTAGCATGCATAGGTGAGACAGCTGGGTTCTATGAGAACTGCGTCCTATGGTTGTGGTACTAAACTTGCTCTGTCTTAAGCTTACTGACCTAGACTTTCTAACAGAGGAACTTTGTAAGATTTACGGATTTAGTTAAGCTGTGAAAATGAAACATAACCTTGCACCTATGGCTAATTAAATAGAATTTTTATAAGGTAGCTAATACCCTCGATGGGAACTATAGGGCTGGCATAGTGTAAAGTTTTCATCTGGATCCCTACATTTTGGTAAATATAACAAATCAAATTCCTGGTCTTTCAAAACATGCTAGGACCCAGTAAAAAGACAGGGCATTTTTTTGTTTGTTTGTTTCCCCTGATCTTAGTTCCTAGTCAAGCAAGCCTAGTAATTCATAGTGAAATGTTTCTAATCAAGAACCTTTTGAAACCTTTAACACCAAAAACCAAGCTAGAAGTAAAAATGTCGCTTTTCTTGTGCTCTTGGTGTTTTGTTTTTTATCCAACCTGTCAGTTTAAAAGCTGGAAGAAGAGACCTTAGAGATCAGCTAATGTGATGGATGAGGATGCTGAAAAGGTCAGACACATAAGGAGTTAGAGAAGAGATTTGACCTCGATTTCTCCAACACCATACTCAGTGTTCTTTCTACTATACTAAGCCGACAAGTAGCCTAACCACTGTTTTGTTGTTTTTGATTGGGATCTGTGATTTCATTTCTGTGGAAAATGCCTGGTATGGAAACTTGATCTGTACTTTCTAGTCTTAGAGAGTTGCCTGGGCCACTGAGAGGGTAAGTGACTTGCCCAGGGTCACACAGCCTGTACGTGTCAGGGGCAGGGCTTGAACCCAGGGCTTCCTGACTGCAGGGCTTGTCCTTTCCACTAGACTGCTGCTTCTACATCACTGTTGTAGATAAATACTACAAATATATCTAAGTGGGCTTTGTTGTACAAGACCTATTTAGATAAGTTAAAGGTATCTCTAAATTAAGAAATGGAGGGAGTAGGTCCATGAGCAGTAGCAGCCTCCTTGACAGTCATCTGTTCTTCACACCACTGGTCCTTTAAATAGAATAAATATAAACCTCATCCAGAGAGGGGTTTCTTTGAAAAGTACATTTAACTGAATTAGTGGTATAAATTAGGCATCAGAGTTCTGAGTGTCTTGATAGCTCATAGAAATGCAGCTTCCTGATTTCTTTGCTAGTGTCAGCTTGTCACATCTCTGAGATTATAATACAAGTCAGTGGAAAAATACAATTTCTTTTTTCACAGATTTCCAAACCCTAAAGTGAAATACATCTTTAGTCTCTCGTTTAGGGTTAGTGGGCTTTTGGTAGAAAGAAGCTCCCAAGTAGCCTCTGCTCTCTCCTGCACACTGCTGGTTGGTTGTAAGGCATGTATGTTTTTCTTAAAGCTTTAATACTTTGAAAAAAAAAATAGATTGGTAGGATTCACATTATATAACACCATAAAAGAGAAACATGATTTTGAATAATTTTGTCACATGAAAAGTAAAAACTGCAGGTGATAAAATAGTTTTGTAGCGGACCACTGTATCTGTGTTTTGTTAAAGTTTTGTGTACTGTTTCCAATTGGAGTGCTTCTCTTGCCAACTTAGCATAAAGTACTGTTAGTCACTCAGGTAGAATTACTGATACCTCTAGTTGAGTCTACTTTTCAACTTTAGCATACGTTCTTGCTACTATTTTGATAGTAAACAATGTGTTGTAGAATCTGTCAATCTTTTATGAATATGAGCATTGGTGAAAACCTTGTAACCGACTTAAAACATCTCGGCACACTTTGCAATTAGCCATCATGGTCAGCCCTGAAGAAAAGGGCATGAAATCTTTCAGTTTGTCATTAATTAGCATTTGTTGTGTGCCTACTAGGTGCATAACATGCTCAATCCGCTGTTGAATTTTTAGAGAACGTTAAGGGGACCCTCCTCTAGACTGATAGCGGCAGTAACACAATCCTTCACAAAAGGTCATTTCCTATAAATGTGAATGTGTCCAAACACACTCTTTTAAAATTAGCTCCCTTGGCCATGTTTAATACATATACAAGCCAACCTTAATGTAGGATTCTGCTATCACTTCAATTCATCAGCATTCAACTAAGCACCTACATGCAAGCTACTCTACTGTACTTTGTGGGTACAATGATAGTATGTATGGAGGGAGGGGAAGATGCTCTCACTCATTATATATATATATGTATGTATGTATGTATGTATGTACCTGTGGTCTTATCAGTCTTACATTCTCATCCTGTGCTATGCCTCTTGTCCTTTCTTGGAAGTCCATCCCAGGGGGTCCACCCAAGGCTGAGGGCTTTTCCCTAGACCTCTTGACTTTGTATGGATACCAGTTGGGCGTCTGACTGCCTATCCATTATCCCTGGTTTGGCCCACCAGCTCTCTGATGGCATGAATAAAAATAATTACAATACAAGGTAAGATGTAACGGAGCAAAGGAGAGTTCCAAAATTTTCAAATGGAAATATGAGAGAGGAGAGAACTTTTATATCTTATTTCATGCAAACTCAGGAGATGGCGATGGCGTCCTAGAGTAAGTAGCATCTGGGCCAAGCTTTGAAGGAACAAAAGGATTTTAACTGGTAAAGATGAGGAAGGAACGTCTTCTAGGCACAAGGGGCTGCCCTTCAGAAATGCCCAGAGGCAGGAACAGCAGCTCAAGGTTAGGGAACAGCTAGCAATCCACTTTGGCTTACAGGATACCATCTTCTTGCTTTGGAGATAGAGCAGCTGTGACTCTGAAACTGAAGAATCATCGCCTTCATTCTAGTAGCACACCAGAGCTTTCTGGCAGCCTTGCTGCTTACCAGCTCCCTATTGTGACATTGTTTGGGGTTATCAATGTATCTTTGAAAACTCGAACTTCTCTACCGTCCTTCTGCTCGTTGTCTGCCTTTCTTTTTTGCCAGTGGAGCAAATTTTTCAAAATGGAAGCTTTATTTGCATGAAATTAAGTCAAATCAACAAGTATTTAATAAATCCTTACTGTGTGCCAGAAACTGTGTTCTGTTCTAGGGATAAAAATACAAAGAATGAAACAATCCCTGCTCTCTCAAGGAGCTTACTTTCTAACGGGGAGACAAGAACACATACACACACACATACATACATACATACATATGTACACATACAACACAAATATAGTAAGTAAATAGTTTTTTTAATATATATATATGTT